ATGTGGCGGGAGGCGGTGAAGCTGATCAGGGAGGGAGGAGAGGCAGACAGACGAGGGGGATGAGCTGAGGTGACCTGATGTTTGTGGTTGTGTGTCCGTTCCGAGGAATCATCATCCTTGCGCTGAGGCTCTCTCCGCGAGAGTGGCGACTCTCGCGGAGAGACCCTGTGCGTGAGGCGTCTGATGATTCCAGAGAGCGGGCAGACAAATGAAGAGCAAGAGCAGCACGAGCTATTCCACTGATCTGGCTTTCAGTGGTGCCCACCACTGGTGTGACGCGATCGATGGGTGCGTGTTCTTGTGTGCGTGCCGTCTGAGAGTGGCGTGCGTCTTTTCGCAGCGAGAGCCGGTGGACGAGGCAGCAGATGAGATGAATGTGACGGATGGATGGACATGCTCTCATATTGCTGCGCCCGACCGACATTTCTGACTGAGTCCGCTGGGTGGGGTGGACCGATGGGACGGGGGATCGATCCGTGTGGATGTGTATAGACATGTGGATGGATGGATGGATGCTGTTTAGTGCGATGGTCTCAACCCATCCAACACATACATCATAACTCATGGATGCAGGCATGCACCGCACCAAGCAACAGCACTAATCGGCAGGCAGGCAGGCAGCACAGCCGTGGGTGCCCTTTCTAGAACCCCCATCAGTTCTGTCCATTCTGCAGCTCGGCAGCGAGTCATTGCCAGCCAATCTCTGTCTGTACAGACCTTTCCTGCCCCTACACACACACACCAGCCCAGCCCCGCCCCCCTGTCGTTCTTCTCTCCTCCCTAGACTCCCTACACACATACATGCACATACACACACGTGGATCGGCCATCCACGCAACCGTTCGTGTGCACACACATATCAGCAACTCGGTCATCGGATCATCTCATCCCTCCATCACAGCTATCCTATCAACACACCTCCCCTCCCCTCCACTCCCTCCCTGCAAAGCCAAGCCAACTCCGGCTGGCCAGGCTGGGCTGGGCAAGCTACGCGATCCACCTTTCCTATCTATCTGTGTGTGGGTATCTATGCGGTCTTGAGCTGTGCGCGACCATCCTGCTGTGCGATGGCCATGGGTCGCACCAACGCGTCACCGGCCGAATCTGGGGCAATACGCAACACACAGGAAGAGTATTTGCGAGAGTTGCTGCATCGTTTGTGGATGTGTGTGTGCCGTGGCGTACTCTTCTTCTGTCCATCGCCGGCAGCAGTCTTGGCTACTTCTGCACCGACGGCCTTCTCCAGCAACGTGGGCGTCGTCAGCTCACCTGCACCGCACCCGACCCCACCAGGGACCCATACATCCCATAGATACACACCACCGCACTGTCGGCCCTGGAATCAATCGCTGGCTTGCTTACTTGCACACGGCGTGGCGTCGTCGGGCTTGTGCCTCACGGCCCTCTCCTTCTCCCTCTCCCCATCCCCATCCCCCTCGTTAACACCCGCCTCACCCCGCCCACGCTTCACGCTGCTGCTGCTGCCCATCACGCCACCGTGCTCCTCCTCGCCACCACCACCCCCACCAGCAGCCGCCTCGTCGAGGGCCGGGAGGGGGCGGTTGAGTGTGTCGGGTTTCCGGGGGGGTGCGCGTGAAGAGGCGAGCTGTGCGAGTTGGGTGATGAAGTCGCTGGGCGGCAGCAGGTAGAGGGAACGGACAAGGCGGTCGCGGGCCTTCTTCGAGAGGCTCTGCATCGCATCCATGTAGAGAGACAGAGAGAGAGACAGTGAGTGAGCTTGTGCATGTCTGTGTGTCTGTGTGTGTGTACTTACTTGTGTGGTGCGAGGCAGAGTGGGCAGGTCGCGGGCTCTGCCGCGCTTCAGGTTGGCGGAGAGGTTGCTATTCCACCAGTGGGCCTGGATCGTCCTGGTCGGTGGCACCATACCATAAAAACAGGACAGGCACACCACACAACAAACAGACAGATTGCCTGCCTGTGTCGGTCGCCTCCATGTCTACCTGTTGATTCGCTGCACGTCCAGTGGTAAGTTGCCGCCGCTGTTGTGGGACATGGCGAGTCTCTCCTCGTCCATGACGTCCCCACGCACAGGGGCCACCCCCACACTGCCCTCAGCTACCAAACGAGGAAACTGCACAACACACACACACAAACACACACGCCCATGCACCGAGGCGTCTGTCTGTCTGTCTGTCTGTGTGTCTGTGTCGCGTCGCTAACCCATTTGTGAAGGTTGAGCATGCCAGCGCCGCAGTCCTCCATGCGCTGCTCGTAGACTATGACGTCCTCCACACTGACGTCGAACGCCATCGCACCGTACACCAGACGGAAGCGCGTGCCGATCCACGACGGACTCTGCACACACACACACACACACAGAGAGAGAGAGAGAGCTCTCTCGGTGTGCTGTGCTGTGCTGTCGTGTGTGTGGTTACCTTGTCGAAGTCAGGTCTGGGGCATTTCGATCCGCTTTGGTTTTTGTAGTCGAAGTCTGTGTGTGGGAGGATGGTGCCGTCGGGCAGCTCCCACTGATGCGGGACGGTTGACTCGTTCACCCAATACTGACAAGACAAGGCAGGCCCACATACACACACATGATATGATTGACGTGTCGACAACATGACGGGTGTGGTGTGCTGTGGCTGGTGTGGTTTGGCGGGTACGGTACCTCGACTTCGTGCTCCAGCGACATGACGAGCGCCCGATACAAGTTGTACCACGTCAAACCTACACACACACACACACCCCATGAGAGAGAGATGCAACTTTCTTTGTCTCCTCCCTCGGCTCTCTTGTCTCTTTGGTTGTCTGTCTCTCACTCACTGCCGAGGCATGCGATGTTTCTGACGATCCTCTGCCCGCCCACCACCGCCTCAAACTTGTACATCAACACCCCAGGCTTCCGCGTCAGGTATCCGTCCGCAACGGCCGTCTTGCGCCCGCTCTTGCGACTCGACCCGCCGCCCCCATGACCACCACCACCACTTCCGCCGCCACCGCCACCCCCGCCAGTGCTACCCCCTCCTGATTTCCTGCCGCTCTGCTGTGACTTGCTGCGCACTCTAATGCCTACATCCCAATCGGGATCGGCATCGTGGTTGTCATGGTTGTCGTGGTCCCCATCACCGTCACCTGCATCCTCTTCTTCATCCTCCTCCTCCTCCTTGTCGACGGGCGGCGTGTCGACGGCCATGGCTGCGTCGGGCTCGGGGAACTGGAGGTGACTCGACTCTGTGTGGAGGCACACACACCATCCACACACAAGACAGGACAGACTGGCCATCAGAGGTGTGGGCGTCTCCGCACTCAGTCAATCGCTCACCGTCGACGTATTTTATCTCGTCGGGAAGTTTTGGTTTTGTGGCGGTGGGCAGGATGGCGGCCTCCTCCTTGCGCCTCGCTACCTCGGCGCTGGCCTGTGCGGTCTTCCAGTCGAGTGCCTCGCGGAAGGCCGCCTCCACCCCGCCGCACTTGTCAGGGAGGAACATGCGGCAGTGGGTGCCGTGCTCGGCGTACCACACGTGCTGCCCCTTGCAAATGCGCCAGGAGATGTCCACTATCCGCGGCATCTGCTCGGCCTCCCGCGTCAGATGCGCCTCCTCGTCGTCCTTGCTGATGTCGTTGTGGCTGCTGGTGGAAGGGTGCCGGTGCTCGTCGGCGGCACCGATGGGCTTCCCTTGGTCGTCACACTGGCAGGGCTGGTATTGAGCTGTGACCACACACACACACACACACACACACACAGAGACGTGTCAGCACCACCGTGAGCTCTGCGTGTTTCTTCGTCTGTCTGGCCGTCTTTGGCACCCGTGTTTTCGTCGAAGTCGATGAGCTTCTCACGATCCACTCTGACCCCAGCAGCGGCAGCAGCAGCAGCAGCAGGGACGGCCGCCACCTTGCCGGCGAAGATCCTGGCGGCGTAGAAGGCCGCCTCCACCCCACCACAGCGATCCACCTCAAACTCCTTGACCCCCCGCACAGCCGTGCCCGCCCCCGCCTCAAACACCACCCTGAAGCACCTATCGCGCATGTCCCATGTGACACCGGCACGGCCGTCGTGCAGTCCCTGTGCCAGGACGGTGGCGTTCTCTGCAGCTCGTTGTGAGGGGGGGACGCGTGAGAAGTTGGTGTGTGGCGGGTCTATGGGCGGGTTGGCGAAGTGGTGGCGGTAGGGGGGCGGAACGGCCTGGGGGACGTCGTGGGGCTGCGGCCACAGATACTGCTCTGCCGCTGCAGCAGAAGGGGAGCAGTAAGGGTTTGGTCGCCTCTCTCTCCTTCTGTCTACCTCTCTCTCTGCTGGTGTTCACCTGCTTTGCCCTTTCGGCATGAGTGTAGGATGATGGCCAGGAGTTGCTGCGGTGTGACGATCTCGACGTCGTCGTCACCGTAGAAGATGCTGTAACAACCGGTACGCGAAGACAGACCCACACGGCCCTGACACATGAATGACACACAATCACACCACAGACACACCACACCAGGAGGCTCGTGCAGCACACAGACAGACCCATGAGCACAGACAGATCTCTCTCACACCCTGTCCTTGCGCACCTGTTTCCAGCCGTGCTTGAACTCCCGCATCACAGAGGTGCTCGCGCCATCAGCCGACGACACACACACGCCCAGCAGCGGCAGCCACGTCTGAGTCACACCTATCCATCACAACACAACCACCACACACGCACCATGCAACACAACCCTCCACACGTGGATGGATGCCCACGCGCCCTCAACTCACAGACAGTGACTCTCCGCCTGCCTGGCCTTCCCTCTTCCTGCGCTCACGTGTCCTGTCCATGGCTGGATCCGTGGCTGCCGCCATCCCGCGGTGAGGCCAATGGGTCAACAGGCAAAGGGCCTGCGGGAGGGCAAGCAGGCGCACCTATAGCGCCTCCAGCCACCGACCAAGAGGCAAAACAGAGGCAAGCACAACTCGTCGCCAAGCTCGCACCCGCGAGAAAGAGCTGGAGAAGCAGATCTGCGCTGACAGACGACGTAGGGCATCGATCAGATAATCATCATGGCGAGCCGCAAGAGGGTGCTGCTAAAGGTCATCATCCTCGGCGACTCAGGGTGAGAAGCACCAGCTGACCACACACACGCAGAGAGGGAGAGCCGCTGCAGGCAGGGCAGATCTGATGGCTGTGTTGTGCTGTGCTGTGTTGTGTTGTGTTGTGTTGTCTTGTCTTGTGTCGTCTGATGTCTGTCTGTCAGAGTGGGCAAGACATCTCTGATGAACCAGTACGTCAACAAGAAGTTCACCAACCAGTACAAGGCCACAAGTCAGTGAGAGGGGAGAGAGGAGAGAGACCCGTGGAAATGGCAATCAATCAGGCTAGAGAGATCCACATCTGTTCCTTTTTGCCTGCCATGCCTGTTCTCGTTTGTGTGTGTGTGTGTGTGTGGTTGGTCCAGTTGGTGCCGATTTCTTGACCAAGGAGGTCATGATTGACGACAAGCTCGTGACTCTGCAGGTGACTCACTGACTGATGACAGCCAGGAGACAACGAGCAGAGAGATCACTCTGATAACACACATGCTGTAAGTATGTCTGTGTGTGGTTGTGATGTGGTGTGGTGTGTTGTGGTGTGATGGGGTATGTCTGCAGATCTGGGACACGGCAGGTCAGGAGCGTTTCCAGTCGTTGGGCGTGGCCTTCTACCGCGGCGCCGACTGCTGTGTGCTGGTCTTCGACCTCACCAACCCTAAGTCGTTCGAAAACCTCGACTCGTGGCGGGAAGAATTCCTCGTACAGGCAAGCAAGGCAAACACACAACCAAAGCACATACCATACAAGCCTGACTGACGGAGAAGAGCAGACAGACAGACCATACGACGGATTCATTGTGTTGGTGTGTTTGTGTTGTGGCAGGCGTGTCCCCGTGACCCCGACAACTTTCCCTTTGTGGTGCTGGGCAACAAGCTCGACGCTGAGGGACAGAGGAAGGTCGGCACGGCTGGACAGGACAGGACAGGACAGGACAGGAGAGGAAGGAGGAAGAGAGAGAGAGAGAGAGAGAGAGACGCGCACATGTGATGTGGGTGTAGGGGTGTGTGTGTGTGTGTGGGTGGGTGTTGTGTATCTGTGTGTGTGTAGGTGAGTCACGCGCGGGCGTCCACCTGGTGCAAGACCAAGTGCAGCATTCCTTTCTTCGAGACCAGGTGAGTGAGCACATTGGAGGGAGGGAGGGAGCCACAGGCGAGCCGCCAGGGGTCGACCGGCTGCACTGCACCCGTCTTGTGTCGCCCCGCCTTGTGGCGTCTTGTTGTGTGTTGTGTGTGTGTCAGCGCCAAGACAGCCGAGAACGTAGAGGACGCGTTCACGGTAAGTGAGCTAAGCACTTTTGACAAACGATCAGTTCAGTGTGAGATGGATGTGTTGTATGGTTGTATGCTGTTATGTCCACCCACCATGTTGTTTGTCTGTCTCTGGCTGCAGGAGATCGCCCGACGGGCCCTCAAGCAGGAGCACACCGACGACCAGATGTGAGCAACACCAAAGAAAGCAAGGAACCATACATACACTACATCAGTATGTAGTTATTGCTCACACCTGTGTGTGTGGGTGTTTTGTTTGTATGTCGTGTCGGCAGTTATTTGCCCGAGACCCTGACGCTCAACGCCAACCAGCCAACGGTGCAGCAGCCCACAGGGGGGTGCTGCTGAGCTGAACCAGCCGGGTGGCACTCTGCCAACCAGCCAGCCAGCCAGCCAGCGATGGGGCAGCGGCTCATGGATCGGTGCAGGCTTCCCTCTCTCCCTCCCACCTTCGATGTCGCTTGCTTGCCTGGTGTATGTGTGTGTCCGTCGGTTGTGTTGAGGTCTGATTTATGCCCATCTGTACATAAAGCATATGACCGCGTGGCGTGGCGAGGGTGTGGTGCGATGGGAAGAGAGCGAGATAGGCAGCCAGCCAGCCTCAGGCAGGCAGGCCAGCCTCAGGCGCGTACGTCTTTCCTTTCTCGCCACCCGGCCGTCTTGGGCGCGGTGGCGCCATGCATGTGGTGGGTGGTGGGTGTCGTGTGATCAGTTTTTGGATCAGAGCCGTTTCTTCTGAGTGTTCTTGCTTGCAGCGCATGGTGCGTGCCTCGGTGTGTCTGCTGTTCCCCGGTGCTTGGTTGAGCGAGGATCGCGGGACGGCAGTGATGACGGGGCATGCACGTTGCGCTGCAGGCAGGCGGGCACCTGTGTGCGGTAGATGTGTTTCCTCCCTTCCTTGTGTGCATGTTTTGACTGCATGCATTCCATGGAGATCCGTGTGTGTCTGTTGCGTGAACTCTGACTGACTGACTGACTCCTTCCTGCCTCTCGGTTTAAAGACTGTGCTACATGATATGCAGACCCCTTGATGTGATGAATCCATCGATATCCACTGAGGGAGAGAAGAGCTACAGCGCCTGGACGGAGATCTGGGTGCGAGCTCGGAGCTGGATGAGTGGAAAGAGTGAGGAGATTTGACTCATCCTGCATCTCCCTGAGCCATGGACCGCTTCCCGCCTCGTCCGCCAGCCCTCTCGTCATCGCCCTCTCCATCCCGCAAGCCGGAGAAGGCCCTCATGGCTGAGCTGCCCGCCGTGTTCTTCGAGGCGGATCAGGCCAAGGGCATCATCGAGGCGGAGATCGAGGCGGCGCCCAAGCCATGGAACCTGCAGATCATGCAGAACAGGGTGGAGCATCTGACAAGAGTGCAGGTCGGCTGGCATGGCAGCTGCTGAGTGGAGTGCGGGAGATGAGATGGATGGATTGGCGTGATCTGATCTGCACTGCCGTGCTTGTTGTTGTGTTGTTTTGGCTGTGTTTCTGTCTGCAGGAGGAGGTCGATGCGCGGCTGGCTCAGCAGGTCTTCAGCCACTACGAGGAGTTCGTCAGGGGCGTCCAGCAGGTGCACGAGATCGAAACCGAGCTGGCACTCGTCAGCAGCATCGTCAAGAACGGCAGGAGGAAACTCAAGGTCAGTCACTCGCAAAACCGATCACGCCCTCTGTGTGTGTGGTGCACACGCAAAGCTGAACGAATCCTTTGTTTGCCACCCCCCCCGTCTGTCTGTCTGTCTGTCTGTGTGTCTGTCTGTCTGTCTGTGTATATGTCAGGTGTTGGACGACGATGTGGTCAAGGAGGCGCTGACGATCGTCAACCAGCAGCACAGGCGGCAGCGCATCCAGGGGCTGCTCGACATCCTCAAGGAGTTCCAGAAGCTCACCTCGCTCGAAATGCTCGGACAGCAGTTCCTCTTCAACGGCCAATTCTGCAAGGCCATCGCCGTCTTCATGCAAGTCCAGGTGAGGTGGGTGCGGAAGCCAAGCCGCACACAGAACAGACGGGGGACGGCGGGGCTCAGCTTCCCGTCAGTCATATTTCTCTGTCTCTGGATGGATGGATGGATGTGTCGGTGCCTGGTGTCAGATTCCGCTCCGTTCTGACCCGCAGTACTCCCGGTTCCCCGGGCTCAAGGGGCTGAATCAGCGGCTGCAGGGACACGTCAACTCACTGAGGATCGTAAGCAGCGCAAACCAGCCGCGTGTATGCCTTCATTGCCCGTGCTGTGTGTGTTATGTGTGCAGCGTCTGAATGAGTGTCTGCGGGCGATTGCAATGACCTCGTCCATCGAGAAAATCGATGTCGACCTGTAAGCCACACACTAAACAATGCCATCCACCCC